TCCCCACGAGAACCCCAGGCCAAAGGGACAAAGCGTGATAAGAACTCCTGATGCCAGATGTTTCAGGCCAAACCCGGCAATGAAAGTTTAGATAACCGGCGAGAATTGGGTCGGACAATTTAGGGGGGCATCACAATCACCAGGGTGGGGTGCGGAGCTCATGATGGGACTTAATGAGACTCGGGTCCAAACCTGGGGGTGGGCTAGGTTGTTCTGATGTACAGGCCATACCTGCAAAGCCATTTTATTGAATAATGTCAGAACCTACTGCTGCTGGGCTGATAGATGTTAGAGGCCAAACCTGCCTGATTCTGTGAATTCCCTTGGGCGGTGTTAACAGATTCCCAGCGCCACCCAGTTTACTTATAAACAATCCCTCAGGTGAGTCTTTCATGATCAGGTAGATTTGCGAAACACTAGGACACTGGTTCCCAAACTTTGCTGTGCTTCAGAATCACCTGGGTCATTGGTCATACTCGATAGCAATGAAATCAGAAGGTCTGGGGATGGCAGCCAGCAATCAATGATTTTTAAAAGATTCCCAAATGGCTCTATGTGTAGTTTGGGGACCACTGATTAGGCCTTTTAACAAAAGTAACGAGGGAGCAGATAACATCTGTCAGCTCAGCAGCTGTAGACACCATAATACCCCGGGTGACCTTGAAAACAAGCCCAGTTGGCAAGTTAATTTCCACCTCCTCTCCTGAGTTTCATCCAATTGTAAGGGGTGCATTCAGTCAAACGATTGGTGAGGGATGATGGTGGCAGGACATAGCTAAGCAAAGAAGGCAGCATAGAGAGCGAAGAGGCAAAGGCAGGGACTTATGCCAACGAGGCCACAAAAACGAAGGAAAAGAACTTTGAATGCTTTCTGGAAGTGTGACCTCTCTACTATCTTGGGTCACCACGGTGCTGAAAGGGCATGACGGGAAGCCACAGACTCAAAAGGAACCAAGCGGAGATTCCGAACTTCGGTTTCTGCCAAGCAGAGCATCAGAATGGGAAGCGAATAACAAAGATTGAGACATTTAGGGCAAAGCGCTGTCGTTCCCCTCAAGCCAAAGAACATCATGGAGCAAGTCAGAATGACAAGAAGCAGAAAGCGAGCATGACGGTCTTAGCCAGGCTTTGCCCTTAAAATATAGCATCAAGCAGTGTCCTGTCCCGGAGCCTGGCACCAAGCCAGTTCCCCGTGGACTTGCCCGTGGCTTAGGGTCCGGGAAGGGATCTGTCACCCGGCTCGGGGCGCGACGCCCTGGACTCCACCTGGAGGGCGCCGGCGGGGCTCGCCCCATGAGCATCGGCAGGTGCACGGCCGGGACTCGCAGGCGGCAGTGCCCCGGCCGTCGGGTCGCGTCCCCCCAGTCTCGGACCCCCAGGGGTCGCCGCGCACGGCCGCGCTCACCCGATGACGTAGGCCAGGATGAGCAGCTGCACGGCCCGGTTCATCAGCCCCACTTTACGGCTGCGGATGAGCACGATGCGCGGCGTGTCGTACTCGAACAGGAAGGCCGCCAGCACGGAGCAGCA